GGAAATTGGGATTTTTCAGGAGGTGAAATCTCTCTCCTGCTCATAGTACAATGCACTCCAGTGGTCGTTGTCCTGGCAAAAAAGATGCCCAGATAATGAAAAAGTTAAAAGTTGTCCAGTTAATTTCTCTGCTTTATCTGTAAAGCATCTCCCTGGAATTGCACACTGGGATTTTTCAGGAGGTGAAATCTCTCTCCTGCTGGTATCACACTGCACTCCAGTGGTGATTGCTTTGGAAAAAAAGATGTCCAGTTGTCCAGTTAATAGAAAAGTTAAAATTTCTGTGCTTTCTCTGTAAAGTATCCCTCTGGAACTGCACAGTGGGATATTTCAGGAGGTGAAATCTCTCTCCTGCTTGTATCACACTGCATTCCAGTGGTGGTTGTCCTGGGAAAAATGATGTCCAGTATATTAAAAAGTTAAAAGTTGTCCAGTTAATTTCTGTGCTTTCTAAAGCATCCCTCTGGAATTGCACATTGAGATTTTTCAGGTGTCACACTGAACTCCAGTGGTGGTTGTTCTGGAAAAAAGATGTCCAGTTGTCCAGTTAATTGAAAAGTTAAAAGTTGTCCAGTTAATTTCTCTGCTTTCGCTGGAATTGCACACTGGGGTTTTTCAGGAGGTGAAATCTCTCTCCTGTTCATATCACACTGCACTCCAGTGGTGATTGTCCCGGCAAAAAGATGTCCAGTTGTCCAGTTAATAGAAAAGTTAAAATTTCTGTGCTTTCTCTGTAAAGTGTCCCTCTGGAACTGCACAGTGGGATACTTCAGGAGGTGAAATCTCTTTCTTGCTTGTATCACACTGCACTCCAGTGGTGGCTGTCCTGGAAAGAAAAGATGCCCAGTTAGGTGGGATGAGCTTTGAAATGCTGATCATTCATGAGTGCTCATTCCTTGAAAGCCTTGAAGGAGAGGAGCAGGTTGAAGTCAACATCTAGGTCAAATCCCAGCTCAGGTGGTGGCAGCTCCCACGCCCAATTGTCCTCTTGCCCTTCCAGTCACACTTGTCATTGCTCCATGACAAACTTCAGGCAGTGATTGCCCAAACCTGGCTGTCAGGCACAGCTGGGAAGGCTGGCAGGCAGCTAAGGGTTAAAGATGAAAACCATGGCAAAGCAGGCAGTCAGGGCTGAGCTCTCCTGCACCCAGAGTGTCCCAGCAAGTCCCTCGAAGGTTCGGCCTCACCATCTGCAGCTCCTCCAAGGCTCTGGGGACTGCATGACAGGAGTGGATAAAAAAAGCAGAGAACAGCCAGACACTATTATTTATCCATTCACTGTCTAAACTTATTTCAGCATCAAAAGGAGCTGATTGACAAGAGAGCAGGAGGCAGAGCTCTTGGAAACCTCCTGGTCCCAGGGGAACCTGCTGCAGCTGCTCTCTGGGGCAGGGCTGTAGCAAATGCCTTTCTCTCCTTGTCACTCATGACATTCCCTTCTTTTAGCAGTTATTACATTTGTCAGGTATTTTATTTCTCAGGTATTATGTTTTTCAGATATGGTATTTTCCAGGTATTTTATTTCTCAGATAGTACATTTTTCAGGTAATTTATTTTCCAGGTATTTTATTTTTCAGGTATCATATTTTTCAGATATGTTTTTCAGGTATTATATTTGTCAGGTATTGTATTTTTCAGATATGATATTTTACAGGTATTTTATTTTTCAAGTATTTTATTTTTCAGGTATTTTGTTTCTCAGATAGTACATTTTTCAGATATGATATTTTTCAGGTATTTTGTTGCTTAGGTATCCTATTTTTCAGATATCCTATTCTGCATCAGTGACCTTTTGCAGATGTGGTACTTTCATGCAACACTGCTATTCCTGCAAGTGCTCCTCTGTCAGTGCTGCATCTCTGGGGCTGTTGTAGAGGAAAAGGGGGAAAAAAAAGACCAAGGCAGAGATAGGGGAGCAAGACCTCAGCAGAGACTGCAGAGACACAGCAGTGTGCTTGTGTGCTGGAATATTTAACGTCAGGCATGCTAGGAGCTGATGATTGATAAAATGACATAGACTTCAAGGAACTGGAACTTTCTGTTTTATTTCCTTCTTTCTGAAATTTATCAGTATGCAAAGGCTCCTTGCTCTGCTCTCCAGTCCTTCCCTTGCTCTCACACAGGCCCTCTGAATTTTACAGGCACCAAGGGGGGCACAGCTTTTGGGAAATGTTGCTGTGTCCCAGATTTCAGGAAGGGGAGCTGCTCAACCTTCACCATATTTACCTATCACCATATTTACCTGTCCAGGGTGGATAATAGCAGGTAGATAACAGCAGGACAGGTGCCCTGCTCCTTTGGCATTCTGCTCTGGGGCTGATGTCACAACATTGCCCCAGGCTTGGACCCACAATGTGCAGTGTCACTTGGATGAGAGGCCCTTTCTCTGTCTACCCTAGCAGTGCAAAGCCCTGATCTCCCCTAAAATTGCTTGAAGGGAGAAGTGTCAGGAGGAGCTGGAATAATGCAGCTATTTCTGGGGCTGACAGCAGGAGGGAGCATGGCTGAGATGGGATGGATCCATTTTTATGCTGATAGCAGGCTGCTGATAAAAAAAAAACCCAACAAATGGAGGAGCTTTGAGGAAGGCAGAGAAGAGAGGTTTAGGCTGTACTTTGGGCTTGTCTGGCCTTTCCTTTTCCCTCTGAGGATCTGGGCAGTCAGACATCTCCTCTGACTGACACACAGACAGAAATAGGATTGTTTGGTGCTGTTCAATACCCAGGGCCACTTCTTAGGGCTTGAGGTTTCAGAGGGAGCTGGAAAATATCTAAGTTATTAGCAGAAACAAGGGGAGCAGGAAGAAGTTTAGGACATGCAAGGGAGATGCTGGGCAGTGTTACATTGCTATAGATCTGTAGCACATATAGCAAATAGATATATACAGCATATAGAGAGCATATAAATAGCATGTAATATATAATATAAATTAATATATAAGATAAATAATATAGAAATATTATATATATAATATGTGTATTATATATAATATATTCATATGTGTATTTATATTTTATATGTGTATTATATATAATATATATATAATATATATTATATATATGCTATATGTAATATAGCATATAATATATCTCTTATATAGAGCACATTGTTAGCATATAGAGCATATAGAAGGAACTCTCTGAACAGCCTGTTTGAGAAAATGTCAGGATTTTCCACAGGGATCTGGACAAGCTTGAGAAATGAGCTCATGGAAATCTCATGAGGCTTAACAAGACCAAGTGCAGGGTGCTGCACCTGGATTAACCCCAAAATCAGTCCATATCTAAGTTATTACCGGAAACAAGGGGAGCAGGAAGAAGTTTAGGACATGCAAGGGAGATGCAGAGCAGTGTTACATTGCTATAGATCTGTATCACACATATAATATAGATATATATAGCATATAGAGAGCATATAAATAGCATATATATTGTATCTAGCATATAGTTAGCATATACAGCATATAGAAGGAGCTGTCTAATAGCCTGTTTGGGAAAATGTTAGAATTTTCCACAGGGATCTGGACAAGCTTGAGAAATGAGCCCATGGAAAACTCACGAGGTTTAACAAGACCAAGTGCAAGGTGCTGCACCTGGATTATCCCCAAAATCAATCCAGAATGGAGGTTGAACAGATCAAGAGCAGCCCTGCCCAGAAGAACTTGAGGATGGTGGTGGAGGAGAGGCTGGACATGCCTTGTCCTTGCTCCCTTCATCCTTCCAAGGAGTCTGACCTCACCAGGCTCATCCCCAGTTCCATCAACAGAACAGCTGCTTGGAAGTAGCCAAGAGCTTTCCAGTCATGAACTACAAAAACCTGGACGCTATTGCAAAAGACCAGAAAGAGTTAGAAGTACATTACTGGAAAAAAAAAAAAAAAAAGAGGACAATCTAAGTTTATCCTGAGGAGAAAGGGAATGTGTGAAGCCTTCAGCTGCATCAACTCCCCTGGTGCTGTTCAGGGAAAGGAAATAAAAAACAATGGCTGTGTCCATAAATAGGCCCAGGCAGGGGTTTAACACAGATTGCCTAATAAATCTTTCCATATTTCTAATCTGCCCTGGCTGACTCAGATTGCATTACTGAAATGTCACAATTGCTGAGCATTAGCAAGTGATAAGCACACTTTTACCACTGACTAGACAAGCTGTAATTAGGCCAAGTCCTTTCCCTCTCCCCTTTACTGGAGCTGTAACAGACTCTCTGAGAGCTTTCTTCTGTTTAAATAAGAACTAAAAATGGCACAAGGCAATAAAGCAAAATGACAGAAAACATAGGGAACAAGTCCACATCAGCCATGTTTTATTGAAGGCTTTCTTAGTGGCAGATAAGGCCTTATAAACTGTGGCATTAAGATGACCTGAACCTTGATAATTCCATGAGTAATTTTCCAAAGGGTGGGTGATCCAGTCCCAAGGAAAGCTTTTTGCCACCTTAGCAAAGGAAAACATTTTTTCAGAGTTACATCAAGTCATGTTTGGCTTTGTGGCAGCTCACAGGTGCCTGACTCATGAGTGGTGTAAGCTATGGATGCATCCTGGGATGGGCAGAGCTTGGGAGAAATATAAATTGTCTTTGGTAGGCTGGGTAGGTGGAAGGATGTCTGAGAATGGAACAGCTCCCTGCCTTTTCTTGATGCCTCAGGTTTTAGCTTTATTATATTTTTCAGATTCTGTGCTGCTTTAGTGTGTGGGTCTGGGCTCCATATGAGGGGATGGTGAGCTCTGTGCACAGAGCAGGAAGACAAAACAATTCCTGCTCCAGCTGGGCACCAAGGACAAATGATCCAAATCTCAGCCCCAAGAGCACAAACGACATGGGCTGAAGAGAGCAAAACAAGAAGCATGGGATTTCATGGGCTGGAGCTGACCAATCTCATGACTGCTGCATAGCTCTAAATCACAGCTCTGCTGTCTCTGAGGCCTGCCTTTTGCAGCTTTCCCAAAACCCTCTGGTTTTATGGATTCCCACAACCCTCTCCTGCCTGTGTGTCTCTGGCAGATGGGCTGGCAGCTTTCCGTGCTTTCCTGAAGACCGAGTTCAGTGAGGAGAACCTGGAGTTCTGGCTGGCCTGCGAGGACTTCAAGAAGACGCGCTCGGCGGCCAAGCTGGCCTCCAAGGCCCAGCGCATCTTCGAGGAGTTCATCGACGTGCAGGCCCCTCGGGAGGTGAGTATGGGGTGCCACAGCACGCCAGGGCACCCAGCAGTATTGGAATTTTATACCAATATAGGCAGATGGAACATGTCTGGGCTCGTCTTGCCCTTGCTGCTTGACCAAAGGCGGCAGCTGTGGTGGTTTCACCTCAGAGACACCTTTGGCTGGCTGGATACTGCAGCTGGGCACTTGGGATAAGTTCAGGCATGCAGGAGATCAGGTTTACCTCTGGTGGAGTAGCTTCAAGGTGAGGTGAAGGAAAGGAATCAGGTTCTGATGGAGGGTTTTGATCCAGAGTTTTATTCCTGGCCCACAGGCCTCTGAATGCAGCAACAGCTCCAACACAACCACAGCGTGGTTGCTGAGTCTTTTAACCCTGGGGAGAGGGGCAGGGAAGGGGTAGGGAGCCACCAACCAGGTATGGGGGGAAGTCTCAGGGGACAAATGACACCTGGATGGCTCAATGTCCCTCAAGGGGTGTAAGGCATGTTTTGAACTTTGCCAATTCTTGGCATTCCAGAAGGGCCTCGAGGGAACTCTGCCAATCACTCGATTCTTCACTTCATTCACTTCATTCTGGAATGCTGAAGCAGGGCCAAAGGAGGGGAAGGGAGAGGTGATTAGCACACCTGGGGAAGGAACCGGGATAGCTGAGACAGGCTATTACATCTCACTGCCACACAGCAGGGCTGTCACCCCCAGCTGGGTGCTCTCCCTCTGTCCCTTCCCTCTCAGAGAGTGGCTAAGGACGGTGGCCATGCCATCCTGGCTGCTCCAGCTGCCTCTGCTCGCCCTGACTCATCCCTGATGAGGACAATGCTTTGATGGTACTGAATTAGTCACAGCCAGGGAGTTCACTGGCAACCTCAGCCTACATTTCCTAACCTCACTGAGCTCCCCAGGAGCATTTCACAGTGCTTCTGTCATTTCTATCAGCCTTCAGCAGGCTGTTGGTCTCTTCCCTGGCAGGACCCTTTGCCCAGGACCATCCCACCCATGAGTGGAACAAAGCCCTGAGGGAGCTGGGGGTGTTTATCCTGGGGAAAAGGAGACTCAGGGGTGACCTTATCACTCTACAACCCCTGAAAAGTGGCTGTGCTCAGCTGGGGCTGGGCTCTTTCTCCAGGCAGCACTGACACAACCAGAGCACACAGCTTCAAGCTGCACCAAGGGAAATACAGGCTGGATATTGCAGAAAGAGTGATAAAGCTCTGGAATGGCTGCCCAGGGAGGTGGTGGAGTCACCATCCCTGGGTGTGTTTAACAAAGCCTGGATGTGGCACTGGGTGCCGGTTGGGTTGGACTCGATGATCTTGGAGGTCTCTTCCAACCCTGTGATTCTGTGAGTAACTTGTTGACTCCCAAGGGGGCAGAGCTTCTGACTAACTCCCCCCTCACCTACACCTCCTGAGAGATACAAACAATAACTCTGAGCTGAACAGAAAATGCAGTCACACCCTGGAGCCTGGGATTGTTAAATCCCCTTTCAAGCACTCCACAGGCTGATGGCACTGCCAGGTCCAGCCTGGTGACCACGCTGGGTTGTGTCACTGCAATCACAGCACAGCCAGAGGTGCTCTCACTGCACCCAGCCTCTCCCAGTCATGCATGGGTGCCTGTCAGGGACCCAAAAAGGGCTAATTTTCCTCATTTTCCTCCCTCTCCCAGCTGGGAAGGCCATTGCAAGGCCACTGGAAAGGACCCAGATTTGCACTGAGGTGTGTGGCTGTCTCCATGCTCTCCTTGAGCATTTTCCCACTGTTATTCAGGAAGCCAAATGAGATTTTAAGGACTGGAAGGCTGATTTTTGATTAGAAATAGGAATGCAGGTAGGATGGGGGTCCTTCCTACAATTTGGTGCTGTGATGATGTTTCCTTAGCACTGTTACATCATTTTGTCATGCTTAGAATATGAAATTATTAGAGTTAATCCATACTGCTGATATTCATGTTGAGGCAGACAGCTTTACTTTCCAGTCTCCTTCCAGTTTGGACACTGAATTAATAACAACAAATAACATTTTTTTCAGCCTTTTTTTTTTTTTTCTTCCAGACAATAACCCTAAAAAATGCTGATTACCCTGCTAGGGAAGGAGAGCAGGAAAACTCCACTGGCTGCCTTTGCAAACAAATGGCAGTCATAACATTTATTTTTCCAAGCCTCTCCTCCAGATATTGTAACATGAAGCTGCTATGGGAAAAATCAAACAGTTTATTTTAGATCAGCCGAGTTTGGAGACATTTAATAAGAATGTACTAGTGGTTTAAACCCAGTGAAAAGTTTATTCACCCATTTATTAGGCATGTGGTGAAGAAGAGAGGGAACAGGAGAGAGGTTGGCTGAGTCAGGAGCTTTAGGTGATGTGCTGCCTAAGAGTCTGAAAGAAAGTAATTTCAAAAGTGATTTTAGTAAAAGTAAAGTGATTTCAGTAAAAATAAAATTATTTCAGAAGTGCTCAGATCACTATAAACCCAACTTCTCCAGGCTTGGGGCAGAACTCACAGCCCTGAATCACTGTGAGGGCTGTTCAGGCATGGGCAGGGGTAGGACCTTGGTTCTGCTGCCATGGCAGAGAGGGAATGAGGCATTTGAAGGAGGCCAGCTGGACACTTAGTGCCAAACTCTCTTCTGCTGCTTTCCCCAGGTGAACATAGACTTCCAGACACGGGAGCTGACCAGAAGAAATGTGCAGGAGCCCTCCCTGTCTTGTTTTGACCAAGCCCAGGGGAAGGTGCACAGCCTGATGGAGAAAGACTCGTACCCCAGGTTCCTGAGATCCAAAATTTACACAGACCTGCTCTCTCAGACCCAGAGGAGGCTCAGCTAGGACAGCCACGGGGCCCTCAGAAACCACGTGCTTCCCTCAACAGCCAAAACCCATCTCTAAATGTGAAATGTGTTCAAAGCAGTGGGAGTGAGAAAAGAGGGACAAGGGGCAGAGGAAGCTTCCAGAGAGTGACTCTTTGACTATCTGTGCTTTTTTTTTGTTAGCAGTAGTACCTTGCAGTTGTTCCCTCTGTCTAGCACAAACCCACAGCCCTCTCAGGGTCACCTGTGGGCAAGGCAGGTTCCCTTTGAAATGGCTGTGTTGGTTTGTGTGTAAATAACACCTTTCCATCCTTCCACACATCTCTCCCTGTCTCTCACCTCTCCCTTGTGTTCAGGAGGGCCCCAAGGGCAGTGCTGACACTTGTGAAGCCACAGCCAGCCCACCTCTCACCCTGCTGGGCTCTGGGACTGAGGGGAGGGAGACAAGAGACAAAGAAACAGGATTCAATCCCTTTTTTGAAGTGGGAACCATCAGCAAACTCAGCTCACCTCCCCATCTATTTTGCACACCTTATGGCTTGGCTGCCACTCTGTCGCTGCCCCTTTTCCTTCAGGGATGGAGGCTCAGAGTATTCCCAAGGAGCTGAGTTTTCCTCATGAGGAAGGTAATCCCAAAAGCTCTCACTAGGCCTGGGCAGGCAAGTCTTCTAATGTGAATGATTGTTTTTTGTGGCTGTTATTTATTTGTGTGGTAGCTCAGTCTCAGCCATCATTCAGGCTCTGTTGTGCTGGGCACTGGACCAAAGCCCAGCACAAAGGGGCTCCTGGCTGCCACAGGCTTGGTGGCTCCTCAGGAAGGACCTGTTGGAACCCTCTGGGCCTTGCTGGGGTGTAGGAAAAGCACAAAGCCCGTCTGCCACAGCAGATGGCATTTTTCATGGGGTACCTGGCAATGTGAAAAATCCCATTTCCATTTTTGTTATTTCCCTTTTACTGACTGTTCCCACTCTCTGAGTGGGTTCAGTGTCCTGCAAAGAGCTCCCCAGCACACAGACCCTGATGCAGGGTGCTTTTCCCCAGTGGGACACAAAGCATGGAGTGAGCAGGATGGGTGTTGGGGCGTGTAGGGGGGTGTGAGGGGCTCTTTGGCCCTGTTCCCATAGCCTGGATGGCCCCTGCAAGAGAATTCTCTGTGCCCATGCACCTCCTCTGGGCTGGGCAATAATTCCTCCCATCTGATGGCCCCATTTCCATGGCACTGCTGCTCCAGCTTGGCAGATTCCTGCAATATTTTTGAGGGGAGAAGCAGACAGCCTGTCTGTGGATTTGAGCCGGCAGACCAGAGGTCTCTTTTCTTAATTTAATGAAGGCCTGGAAAGTGACCCCATGGATCTTTTTCTTCTCTCAGACATCCCCAGACCAGAGGCTGTAAACCTCTGCTCCAGCCAAGGCTAGTGGGTGGCTTTGATACATCAGAAAGCTGCTGATATAGATTTTGTGTAATGTGGTGTAAATGAGGTACAATGAATTCTAAAGCCAAGCAAAATGTTTTTGGAAGAAGATAAAAAATATCTGTCTGGATATTAAAAATTACTGTCCATCAATTAAGTAGGAAACAGCTTTTTGAGGATTTTTGCAATGATGATATATAGGAGAGTAGGACAAACAGGATCAAGACAGAGGTGGTAACCATGCTGGATTTATTTTGGCGGTGCATTCCTGTGGCCTCCAAGACCCTGAAATCGAAATACATTACAACTTTATGTTCAGTAGGGAAAGCTGCTTTTCAGTGTCTGGCTGGACCGCAGGAGAATCCTCCAGGTTTTTGGAAGGCAAATCCCTTCTCCGGTTAAATATCTGTGAGGAATTTCCAGAAAGAGCAGCAGTGACCCAGCATTCCTGGCTGTCCCCTGTCCCTGCAGGGACACCTGAGGACGTGGGGCTGGCCTTGGTGACAGAGGTGACATATTATTATACATAATAATATATATAATACATATATTATTATATATATATATATTCTGCAGCCACACCAGGCTCAGTGACACAGCTCCTGGGGCTGTTGAGGCCCCTCATGGGACACAAGAGACACAAAGCTCAGGGTCTGGACGTGGCACAGTTTGACACAAACTTTTTGCTGCTTGCTCAAAAGCGGGAGCAGTGAAGGACATCTGGAAAATGCTCCAGATTTGCCATGATTTCTCCAAGGGAGCCAGATCCTGCAGGAGCTCAGTGTCCCAAAGCTTTATGGCAAACAAGGCAGAGTGAGACAGGTCTGGTGAACCTGAGCAATGCATGGAAGGAATCAGAGGTGGAAGCAAAGGACACAGAGCCACACATCAGTGCCTGTCCCTGGTGCTGCCTGGGCTGTAGGAAGGTGTCTGGGTTTGAAAAGCCAGGTGTCTGCTAAGGAAGGCAGGAGCCTCCCTTGAAATGGAAAATGTAAAGTCAAAACCTCCCCAAGGGGTTACACCTAGGATAGACAACGGTCATGAGTTTTTCAGACAATTATAAGTTTGTTCTTTTACATATCAGGAGTTAATCCTCAATTACAGCTTCAGGTAATGAAGTTATTTACCCCCAGTTCCCCCCCTCCAATTCACTTTTCTTTATCCTTTTTGGGGCCTGAGGCTGTAGGGTGTCTTTGGATCACAGGCCCAGAGGGATTGTTTGTCTGACCAAAACATGGGGAGAGTTAACTCTTTCCATAGAGTTTAGAGCTATGCACTAATACAGTGTAGGATTTGAAAAACACAAAAGTTAAAATCTTATAAGGAGATGTCGTTGCTGCAGTGGTGACAGGAGCTGGAATCAGGCTGGCTGATGTAGGAGAAGTGTTTTTCCCAGTAAATTGTTCCCTCCACTGGGAACAGCATCCTAGAACACAGAGTGGAGCAAAAGTATTGTCTGAGGCACTTGAGCCTGCCACTTGTTATTTTTGTTGCTGCTCTTGCAGTTTGTCTCTCTAGAAGGAAAGCAGACTAGTTATTTAAAGTAAAATTCTATTTTTCTTAAACAAGAAAATGGCACCAGCTGCTTCTTTTATGACAAATGCTGTTCTGAATTGAATCAAAATAAGCAGCTTGTAGCTCTACCCCTTAAACCAGGGGCTGATCAAGGAAATCATAACTGAGGCAAAGCTTTGGAAAGAGCTGAGTGGTGACTAATTCCCACCAAGGGCAAATATCCTATCCTTGATTCATCTCTTCCTGCTGTGAAAGGGATACTCACAACCTACAAACCCATTTCCCCTCTCCACAAGCACACACCTCCAAAATGTTCCTCCTGTTTGGAGCAATGTTAAAATGTGTCATCACATGAAGAGAGGGGGAAAAATTTGGTTCACTCAGTTCTTTTTATTCTGTTTGTTGGCCCATGCCCAGTCAGCTCCCAGGCAGATTGATGGCAGAAGGGAAAAAGAGTTTACAAATTTCATTTTCTATGAGCTTCAGGTGGTGTTAACTGCAGGGTCAGATGCAGAACTCGAATCTGTCTGAAGTTTCTCCTGCTTTGGTCCATCAGCCAGGCTTGGGATGATTTCCATCACTTTTAGTGGACTCATTAATGCACCTTTAGTCCATGCTGGGAGGGTGTGAAGGGCAAAGGGGAGGGGGAAATTGCTGTGTGTGTCTGGGGGTGTGGGTGGTGAGAGTGCATGTGACTTCATCTGTATCTTATTTAGTGTCCTCTACTACAGAAGCTTTTCTGAGACATAGATGTGCATGTTAAAATAGGAGAATTAGGCACAAATGACATAAACTGAGACCTTTAGCCAGTGTTGTGTTTGCCTCGTGTGTAAGTCCAAGTAGTAGTAGGAGATGTAAACTCTGCTAGGTTCCCAGTTACCCCTAAGAGCACATGTATCAAACTGAACTGAATGTTCACTGATGATAGACACAAAACCAAAATGTTTACAGCATTCAGAGCAATAGCAAAGCATACCTCATGCCAGTCCTGGAGTGCCTCTCACCTGTCAGTGCAAGCTCTCCCCTCCCTGGGGGCCTCTGGCTTCTTCTCCCTCCAAACTCCTCTCTCCTTCTCTCTCCTGTCCTGGTTGTCTTCCCTCCTCCTCCTCCTCCTCCTCCAAGCACTCCAAACCTTCCTGTCCACCAGCACTGTTTGTCCTCATCTGTCTGAGCCTGGGACTACCCTAACCTCCCTCTGCTTGCCTCTCCTCCATGCCCATCCCTCCCTCCCTCTCTTCTTTGCCTTTCCCTTCCCCAGGCACTCATCTCTGGTCATGCCATCTCCCTCCTACATGCCTCCTACTGCCACTGTAAAGCTCCTAGGAGCTCTTCCCTGCCCATTATATAAGAACAAAATGTTTCACATCATTTTCTGCATTATCTTCCATCCCTGGGGCTGCTGCAGTTGTCTCCTTCCTTGGTGCTGTGCTCTCTCTGGCATCGTAGCATTATATCCCAGAACTGGAATTAAAGTTCATTTTGCTGCTAGACCAGAATGCTTCTGTCTACCACGCACCCCTTGGGCTTTGCAGAGACTCATCTTGTCCCCAAGTCTTTTGTCTTCCTTCTTTTTCTCCTCCTTCCATGCAGGCTGCACGTGCAGTGCTTGTGGCAGGGGCTGGCTGGGGTGGAGGGTGTCCGTACTGGGGTCAATCGCAGCTGGGCACCCCCGTGGCTCTCTGGTTTATAAAAGTAGTCTCAATAAAGGTGTGTGGGTTGTATTTGCTCAGCAAACTCAGTCACTGTGCTCTGTGCCTCCTGCAGGAGGATGTGTGTCTAATCTGAGGCTGACGTGAACTCAGCGCGAGTTCAGTGAGCCGAGGCTGTGGGAGGGAGGTGGCACAGGGGGCCGAGATTGTTACCAAAAACATCCAACACTCCTGGCAAAAAGGCACAGGAGAAAAGGCAGTGCCTGCTTCTGGAGACACCAGGGAGCTCTGGGGACCAGCTGTGCTGTGAATTGTTTGTCTGAAGCAGCCCCACAGCTCCCGGTTTGCCTCACGTGCTGCATGCCCCAGGCTGGCTCTAAAGCATGATGGATGAGGAGCTGCTCAGCTTTGCATTTCCAGTGTGGGTAACAGCTTTATCCTGAGAGAAATGTCTTCATATTGCTCTATCAGTGCCTGCAGCCACCAGCTGAAAAGCAGGGAGGGGAAGGAGGCACCTTCTGCTGTGTTTACTCCTGCAGACCTCTGTAGGAACTCCTGGCAATGAAGAGAGCAGGGTATGAGCACACCCTGGGGTAGATCCCCCTTCCTTAGGAGCCACCACTGAAGATGTCATCTCCTTATAACCTCTCCCCCAACTCCTCTGTGAGTTGCCCAAATCAGAGCTCAGATTTGTCCTTAAGCTCCTTGGCACCTCCACCTTGGTGGGACAGCAGTGTCCCCTTGAGGACCTGACTACAATCTCCACGCCCAGCAAGGCTGCTTAAAATAACAAAGATACCTGGTTCCTCTGCAAATCAGCTTGTGGGTGGCTCAGAAGAGAGTGAGGATGGCTCTGCTGCACTCAGTGAACTCAGAAGTGAGCCACCAGGCAGAAAGAACAGCTCAAAAGTGCTTCCCTGGGCAATGCTTTTATTTTCAGGAGATCCTGCTGCTGCAGCTGCCACCCCTGCAGTGCTGCTGGTGTTGGGGCAGGCCAGGCAGGCTGTTCAGTCTGACCCCTTCCTGCTCAAGGAGAGGCATGGGCTCAGCTCCCCGGGTCCCCCTGCATTAGCTGCTTGTTTGCTAGGCTCCCCTTGCTCCCTGGGAGGCTGGAGAAGCTCCTCAGCCACGCCACAAATCCCCGCCAAGCCGTGTCACCACACTGTGCAGTGTTACACCCCTGCTGTATAGACACCCTGAGGATGTAATAAACAGCCTGAGACTATTTGCTCTCTGCCTGAGTGTCTGAAAAGCTGCAGTCCTGGGGATGGAGGGGTGAATCCCAGCCAAATTGCTGAGGAGGAAGAGGAGGGAAGAAGCTGGTGCAGACATGCTGGATGGGGCAGCAGAGTGAGGATGGGTTGGCTCCAAGCTGTGGATGCCTCAGTAGAAACAATTTAGAACCAGGCTCCCCAGAGGTCCAGGTTGGGGAAATGAGTCTGAAAAGAGTCAGTAGGACCTGCAAGGAAGGAAAATCCCAGGAGCCTTCCAGCAGCACATTGCTGTCCTTCTCTGAGTACACCTCCCTGCTGCTGCCAAGTGATGGACTCCCTGTCCCAAATCCCAAAACTATCATGGCCAGAGGTGGGAACAAGTGCTGAGCCTGCTCCCTGCACCAGGAGCAGCAGTGGGGGACACACAAGCTCCTGGGAAAGGGAGCAGTGTGGATGGATGGATGAATGGATGGATGGATGGATGGATGGATGGATGGATGGATGGATGGATGGATGGATGGAGCTTGATGAGGTCACAAAGAGCAAACAGCAAATGAAGAGCTTTCTCCATACCATAAAAAAGCCACTCTGAGCTCCAGCAGGCAGCTCACACTTGACCCTCAGCTTGCTCCATCCTGGTGGGATAAACCAGGGAGGGATGAGCAGGAGTAGGGGGAGAGTCACCAGCCAGTCATGGAGCAGTTTGGGGAGTCTGGAGGAGCCTGGGGAAGGGTCAGGCAGCAGCTGAGGGCAATTCTGGGTATTGGGGGGGAAGGGGAAGGGGAGGCATTAGCAGGGGCAGGATGCCGGGCACTTGAGGTGAGGTTAGGTCTTAGTGGGAAATTGCATGGTGAGAGATTGGGTTGGTTTGAAAAGCCAGGTGTCTGCTAAGGAAGGCAGGAGGCTCCCCTGAAATGGAAAATGTAAACCCCTTCCCTCTGAATTGTTAGAATTTTGAAATTAAGGAGCTCTCAAGCAAAGATATGAGAATAGGAATAACAGTTATTTATCAGGAAAAATAAAAATACAAATGCAATAATAAAAAAAAATTAAAACAAGAAAACAAACCACTGCCAGAGTCAGAGCAGGAGCTGCTCCCCTGTGTGTCAGGGGGTGTCCCAGCCCCATCCCATGGGGGCTCAGCCCTCCTGCAGTGCCAGCTGTGGCTCTGCTGCAGCAGGGATCCTGCACAAGGGGGGAGTTTTCCTCTGCAGCTCCAGGGCTGCTGCAGATGGGCCTGGGCTCCCTCTGCTGCAGGGCAGCAGTAAGCTGCTCCTCTGGCAATGCAGTGGGCAAAGGCTGCTGTGAGGTCCCAAAGCTCAGATTGTATCCAGGTAGGAATGCTTGGCTCCTCCCCTGGGCGGAGCATCTCCCCATGGGATGATGGAATTGGATCAGCCATGCCGGGACACTCACTGGCCATGAACAGAAGATAATTAATAATTAATGGACCATGGACAGAAGAGATCTCCTGGAGGGAGGATTGGTTGTGGCAGAGATAAAGAAAACTGCCCAATGAACAGCAGAGAAGTGCCCCACCTCTGACAGATGAGAATACACAGCCCCAAGCCATATCTTACAACCCAGGACAGAGATTTACTGCAGGAACCATGTGGGGCTTCAGTGAGGAAGGGCTGAGCACCTCCTGAGCAGGTCTGGCAGCAGGAAGAGCAGTGACCTGGATCTCAGCTGCTCCTGGGCACACCGAGGGCTCCCACCCTGCCTGGTGCCCCTCTCTCTCCCTGTGAAAGGTGAGTGTTTGCTCTGTGCTCTGCACACACATGTGTTGCATTGAAAGCCAAACATTAAATTTTCCTCTGGAAATGGGTCTAGTGTAATATATCAGTCCCTCTGGCTTCTTTCTATCCCCCTTTTATTTTTGCCCCTAAATCTTTTCTTCTGCTGTTTTTCCTTTTCATCTGCTGCTTCTTCCCTCAGCCTGTCGCCGAGCCAAACCCATCTGAATGCATCCAAGGAGGGATCTGCCATTAGTGCTGCTCTGTCTCTCCTCTTAGTTAGGATATATTTAGCCATCATCTTTTAGCTTTTTTTTTTGCTGGCTGTTCAGTGGCTTTAAAAAGCAGGTGCTAGGAACGGAAAGAGAAGATTAAAAGTACCTGCTGTCAGCTACCTCTCCTTGTGCAGCTGTGCAAGCACGTGGGCAGAGTGGGTAACAGCTGCCCCTTGAAAACCTCATTTGTAATTCTAATTATTCTTTTTTATTATTATTATTATTATTTCAATAATCTCTTTCTGCACTGCTGCAAATATCCAGAGCAGCTATTTCCTCCCGTGCCTCATGTGAATGTGGAGTGTTGGGAATCCATCAAACTCCCCGTGGGTGAGGGTGAGGGATCCTTCATGGGCAGCTGGGATATCCTGGATGGGCTCAGCAGCCCCAGGTGGAGCCAGGCTCACCTGCAGCCACATGGACAAGGTGTCTCACAGCCACCCCTGACTGTCCCTGTCCCACAAGCTGTGCCCATGGCCCAGCCCCAGCTGCAATGTGGCTACTCAGGGGCCACTTGCAAATTCTTGGCTGCTGTCTCAGCCTTGGCAGCTTCCCTGCTCCTCCCTGGCACCATCAGAGAATTTCTCAGGTTGGGAAAGATCTCTAAGATTATCAGGTCTAAGCCAAGCCCATCTCCAAACTCCATCCCATCCCCATCTCCTTGGCTTACTTCCCTCCTTAAACACATCCAGAGCTCATCAACAGCTTGCAGGTGGAGGAAGGGGCTATGCAACATGAGCAAGGCCTTTAAACATCCCATTTCTGCTCCTTTGCAGTCAGCACCTCCCTGATTTCATGGCAGGAGTGCCTCCAGGTTTGGCCATCCCTGAGAAGAGATGGCCAAAGAAGAAAGGAGAAACTGGAGACAGATTCCTTGGGGAGCGTGCCTGCAGTGAGACCCCAAAACAGCACAGCTCAGCCTGGCTCTTCCCCTTTTCCTTCTCCCTGCCTCCCCTTCCAAAAATCTTTCTGCATCTTCCCCTTATTCCACTTGAACAGAACAAAACCACAAAAATACCCCTGCCAGAAGCTCTCCTCAGAGCTTGGCTGTGCACTGGGGCACATACACAGGGCACTTGGCACCCTGTCACCAAACCCTTGTTTTCCCATTCCTCACCCCATTTCTGAGGCTGAAAACTTTAGTTTTATGTTTTTCAAAATTGCTGGCATTTTGCAAATAACCCAGAAACACCAATCCCTGGGGCTGATGGGATGTTTGTGTTTTGCTGCTGAGGATGAAGCCAGCCAGTGGTTGTACCCCCTCAAATTTTGCCAAAGGCTGGCTGTGGGTGTCTTCTCAGCCCAGCCAACCTCCCAGCCCTGTCACCAAACCCTTGTTTTCCCAATTCCCCACACCATTTCTGTAGTTTGGGGATGAAAATTTTGATTTAGTGTTTTCCAAAGTTGCTGGCATTTTGCAAACACTAACCCAGAAACGCCAGCAGGAATCACTGGGGCTGATGGAGTGTGTATTTTGCTGCTGGGGCTGTACCTCCCAAATTTTGCCAAAGGGTGGCTGTGGGCGCCTTCTCAGCCCAGCCAACTTCCCAGCCCTGTCACCAAACCCTTGTTTTGCCATTTCCCACCCCATTTCTGGAGCTGAAACCTTTGGTTTTTGTGTTTTCCAAAGTTGCTGGCATTTTGCAAATAACCCAGAAACACCAATCCCTGAGGCTGATGGGGTGTTTGTGTTTTGCTGCTGGGGGTGGCTGTACCTCCCAAAATGCTGCCTGTGGATGCCTTCTCAGCCCAACCTAGACCTTCCTGGTGCAGATGAAATCCGACCCTATGGCTGGGAGGTGGATTGATGCTGGCAGGGCTCTGGGAAGGCAGCCTGGCCCCAGGCGTTGCGACAGAGAAGAGTTTTTTGTATTCCAAAACAAGGGCTGATAATGGAGGGCACGGGGCCGGAGCCGCGGGAGGCTGCTAAGCTAAATGAGACAGGAAGCACGTAATTCAATTAGATACAGAGCAGCATGAAGACATCTGAGTACACACACGGGCTCAGAGGCTGTTGCATAACCCTGGGAAGGGCTGTGCAATATGAAATATCTTACCTAGAGCAGCCCATGCCCATCCTGGAGCAGCCCCATGGCTCGGGAGAGGCAGAAAAGCTGCTCCAGGGAGCACAGGGGTCAGCTGGTGGCTGTGGCACAGTGGGCACAGGGGCTGTCCCAGCCTTGGTGAGGGGGATTTTGCTGGAACAGCCCAATCCTGCTCCCAGTCCAGGGCTCAGAGCTGCACACGTGGATCTGGCACTGCCCAGTCTTGGGGTGCTGTTGATAATTGCTGCCCTGAGATGTGCAGGATGTCTCTGCTTCAGCCCAAGCAGCTGAAGAACGAGTCTGGACTCTTCACTTTTCAGTCTTGAGGTTGTTTATTAATTCTTATCTGTAAAATTTTCTTTCTGCCCAGCTGAGATCTGCTCAGCAGGGCAGCCACAGGCACTCTGTGTTGTCCTTTTATACTGCAAACTACGTATAACATATTTACACTTAATTCCCAATACCTATCACCTATGTTAGACAGTGCACTTCTACTCTAAACCAAACCCAAAGTGCCAATATCACAGCAGAAAATGGAGAACAAGAAGAAGGAGGAGAAAGACTGGACACGCCCAGATTCCTCCATCTTGTCCCCATAACCCCCATACCAAAAATCCTAAAATCTACATTTTCACCCTGTGATCATTTTGTTATTACACTATTCAAACCTCTGTGACTTTCAGGTCCTCATACAAAACTGGTAACTTGCTCCAAGGGTCAAAATCAAATCCCCAGGTGTTCTGGGCAGCATGCCAGGGTCTCCCAGCCCCCTGGCAGGGTCTTTGGCAACTCTGGACACCCGGAGGGATGCACTGAGCTCCGACAGCCCTGAACCCCAGAGCCAGCTCTGCAGCAGCAAACACCTTTGTGCCTCTTGTGGTGCCCAAAAAGAAACACCTTTAACCGACCCCTTCCCTTCCCTAAGGGCTCTCTTTCTCACCATGGGCAGCTTCAC